AGTGAGTGAGTGAGTGAGTGAGTGAGTGAGTGAGTGAGTGAGTGAGTGAGTGAGTGTGTGTGTGTGTGTGTGTGTGCGTGCGTGCGTGCGTGCGCGCGCGCGATTAACAACTATTACACGCTCGAGTAACTGCTACAGGCCTGAGAGCCTATATAGTAGCCTAAACATTGTACATAATGTTCTCAGCTATAGGCGTGTGGCCACGTGCATTTCGCAGTAACTCAAAAGCGTAAGTAAAGAAAGATACATAGCATACGTAACTGATTGTTACTGTGTGTACAGTGACTCTTACATTCAGCCCCTGGCGACCTTTGACTATTCCTAAGGTCGGCCGGCTCAGCTTTACCGCTGCTTAGCTCGCTGGCTAGATTGCAACTGAGGTAATGGGCAGTACACGTGGGCCGTGACGGTTACGTTGACCAACAAACGGCTGCAACTGCGTCGTACCCCGACACGCACACACGCATTATTCACGCTAGCTCTGGGGCTCCAAAACACCTCAAAAACATGTCGCCGCAAAGCATACAGATTAACGGGCCAGAACTGTTGCACGATTATACAGCGTCTGCCAAAATGTCAGCATAACGACCCTCGTAGTGTGATACATTCGGTCTGATTTTGTTAAAACTGCAGCATAATAAAATTATAATTTATATATATTTATATATCACATGTCGGTGTATCTTTAAATTTGTCGCATTATAGATTATTTAACTTCAGGTTGGTACATACAATAAATGATAGGTGAAGAAGGATACTGTAAATTTACACACACCGGCACACTGACGCTCGCTGCCACAAGCGCACACATTTCACGGAGTCATTAATCATCGTTGTTAGTGACGCGCTCTCTAAGATTCACTTCCTAGTCGTGTGTAGCGACAGTTAGACGACAGAGTAGGTCTTAGTTGCTATATCCGTTCGCACTCATACACCAACTTTCCCAGTTAATATTGTACATGCATAGTTGCGCTGCCAATTTCACGCGGTCTTCACAACCTGCCTCCGTTATGTAACGGCGCAAAAATAGAGACATGTTGCGCAAGTTATTCCGTAAGCGATAGTTTCCACAATCCGTTCCCCCTTTATGTAAACTGGGATCTTTTGTCAAAAACTACCGTGAAGTTGGGGCAACACTATACGAGAGAGCGTATTCCGATACTATAGCCGCGATGACATTAATATTTATGACCCTGGACCATAGTTTCTCGGGTGTCACTTTCCCCCGGGCGTAGATGGAGGGTGCCTCTACGTGGCAGCACTAGTCACTTCGTACACTTATTTCCCTATATTATATTATTATATAAGGCGAGCGCGAGCGCTATGAGGGAGGGCGAGGGCAGCTCCCCCTAGATTTTTAAGCAGAAAGCTTAGATAATAATTATGTGCAACCCGAAAATAATTGTAATAAATAATATAACACAATTATTCTTTCAGCCTAATTATGTCCTACGTTTGCTTCGTTTATAAAAAGTTTTGCCCCCTAGGAATTTGCTCTCATCGCTCATCTCTCATTGCTTTCGTCCTTTTCGGCTTACTGGGCTTTTGTACTTTCACTTTCTTTGTAGGGCTTGCCACGTAACGATGCCAACCTAGCGGACCGGAGTGGCCGTATGGGCCGTAAGTCACAGCTCATCTCTATCTGTTCCGCAGCTGCCACAACCACGACGGGGTACGTGCAATGTATACTATAATAGATTTTGAATAAAGACAGCTAAATAGGGTCACGGCTTATACGTAATTACATGCACCCGGTTATATGAATAATCTAGAAAGCAAATCGACTTCCGTGATAAAACCGTTCATATTTGATAACACCGAATAGTTTTATTTCATAGAACTTTAATTGCTCCTCATAGTGAGTGGTGTTTTTTTTTTTATATTTACTTGTAACGCGTTATGACTTCGTAACTATGATTATCGTTTATGATCAACTACATTTACGATTATCGTTACCATGGTGACGCCGTAATGCCAGAATATTGTAATATAATTATAGGGGCCGTTTATGGTTATCTATGCCTGAGTATACGGCGCAAATAGGCGATATTGCCATCAATTTATAATGCAGCAAGTCTCGCATGCATCAATGAACACGGACTGACAACGGCTGGCACGGAACACGAAGACAGCATTTGTTCGGCTTTTGTGTAGATTATAGAGAGCGATAGCATTGCCATGATTATATATCCGTAGCGACGTCCAATCTCGTCTAACGTAAAGAACGCCTATCCTCACACACGCGCACACACACACACAACTCTGACACTAGTTAGCTGTCACCGGTGACTTCACAGCCGCTACTTGTAAACACTGATATATATCTGCAGTATTAATCAATACAGGAGAATGGCGGGATTCAAACATGCGCAGTACGTCAGCGTAATGTCCAGCAGCGACAAGCTAGGATGTCATCGATCACAGTGTGACCTGTGCCCGCGCAATCATATCGCACCTTGCACGTTAAACGCGTTGCCATGGCGACCAGGCGCGTGAAAAGCGTAGCGTAAAGCCCGGCGCACACGTGAGTAATTTTACTCGAGTAAAACGTGAGTAAAATGACTCATGCGTCATATTACTTGAGTAAAATTACTCACGTGTGCGCCGGGCTTTAGCTATTTAGGAGGTATACAACAGTAAGTCTCCGCAAATTGTGTTTGCACTAATTGGTCCATAGAAAAGGCCTTTTTTGATTTTTTCTCTGTAAAATTCGGCACTAGAGTGCACTAATTTGCATTATGCACGCAGGATAGATGCTTCGTTCACGTCTAGGATGCATATTAATTAGACGTTACATTGGTAACGTCGTGTAATTGTGCTATTCCGGAAAGTGGCGTAGCCAGGGTGACCGGTTGGCCATTTTTGTGTATGAAACGGGATCCGACTACTTTGTAGAAATGCGCGTCATAGAGCCGGAAAAAATTTCGAGCGGAGTATAGAGCTTGAATCTGTGGTTATTTAACATGAATAAATTGTATGTTGTGTATGCGACGAAACAGTTCGAGTATTTTTCATTAATTTCTGTTCAATGCTTATTTAAGCCTGCTGCCTATGGACGCCCTCTACTGTTGTTCAACACCTATAGGAGGCGTGTTACAGTAAGCCTCCGCAATTGTTCACCGCACTATTTCTCGTATAGAAACTAGCAGTTTTCTCGAATTTTTCGTGGCAAATTTCGTCATTAGAGTGCGTAAATGTGCATTGCACAATGGAGACGGATGCCCGATAGACGTTTGGAAAGGATTGAAATTTCAATCGGTTTTGTGGAAAAATTGTGCAAATGCGCGGGGTGTCGTAGCCATGGTGACCGGCAGCCGCGTTTGAGAGTTGAGGGGTACCCGACAAACATGGTGGAATTTCGCATCATAGAGCTGGCAAAAGTTTCGAGTGACGATGGTACGGTTAATGTGCAGTGATTTTGCATGAATAAAATGCATGCTGCGTGTTTATAGTAACTGTTTGCGTATTTTTAATTATTTTCTGTGTGCTGCTCATTCAGGCCTGCTGGCTATGGACGCCCTCTACTGTTGGTAAACACCTATAGCAACAGCGGAGAAACAACATGCCCGCCGTGTTGTTATCTCTGTAGCAACAAAGTGGGAAACAACATGGCCGCCGTGTTGTGCTCTCTGTAGGTGTTGAACAACAGTAGAGGTCGTCCATAGGCTGCAGGCCTGAATAAGCATCGAACAGAAATTAATTAAAAATACTCACACTGTTACTGCACTTACAAAACACACACTTTATTCATGTTAAATAACTACAGATTCATGCTCTATGCTCCGCTCGAAACTTTTGCCAGCTCTATGATGCGAATTTCTGCAAAGTTGTCTGAACACATTTCATACACAAAAAACACCAACCGGTGACTAGCCACCTGACGGAATGTCACGAATACACAACAAAAATAATTTTACTTCTAATGCTTTCTCGACGTCCACGAGGCATCCAACTTGCGTGCATAATTCTAATTATTGCACTCTAGTGCCGAATTTCGGCGAAAAAAAAAATGCCAAAAAAGGCCTTTTCTAGACGAAATAGAACAATCGCGGAGGCTTACTGTTGTATGCCTCCTGTAGTGACAGCGGGGAAACAACATGGCCGCTGTGTGGTGCTCTGTGCACTTGACCTTCCGCGATAGCGTTACGCTTGTAAGCTTGTCCTCGGTGGAGATGCGCTCCCGCTATGCGCCGAAAAAAGGATGCGCGAATGACGGCAACGTTTTTTGTTGTTGTTTGCACCACCGGCTGCTGCCTATGGACGCCTTCTACTGTTGTACAGTACCTTAATGTGCCCGTCACGGCGACCCTTGTAAATATCACCTTACACACGCTTTCACTGCGCCAGACCGTACGTACGAACGAGGTGCTATACTCTAAATATGATAATCCAACCGCTCATTTCATCGCAGGGCATGAGTGCTTGCGCGTCAAAATACTTCATTAATGGCCCAGTCACACATACACGACGCACGGCCCGCGCACTGGAAAATCAGCAATTTTGGCCAATGCGTTGTCGTTCGCTGGGTGTGCGTCAGCATTCGTTACTCGTTCGTCGAGCGCGCTGGACCAACGCTATGCATTCGTTGTCATT